ATATGACTCATCAGAAATAATCTATCAAATTGACTCAACCTACATAGTTTAATCTACCAAATTTCAAACAGTTTACTGTACATTTAGTTTCTCTGCCACTACAATATTTCCAGTCACTCATGAATTCCCTAAGAGAGGAGTCCACATCTCCAATTCACTAGTAGAACACCAACACACCTGTTTCAGTTTTCAAGCGAAAAACAACCACTCACTTGGTCAAAAATATTACCAATCAGGTCCACATAGACATTCTAAAATAAAACATAAGGAAAAACACCAGTAAGCTGTTATCATGAGTCATTCAGCCACCCAACAGCCTTGCTCCATCCGTTATGTTTGGACATTACGGTCTCAAAACATATACTCTACCATGAAACTTAATAACGGAACACTTGTTTAAAAAAATAAAAAGATAGAGAGAGAGACACACACACACACACTCAAGGGCGGAGCTAATTAAGGCACCCCCCCAACAATAATTATCTCTTAATTTTTTCTTTCTTTTCACTTTTACTTTCCTAATTCATATGATTTCCTAATATATGTATATACCATATCCATTTTTTCTGGTAAATATATATACTCCATCCCTTCTTCAATCAAACTCATTTTTTTTTTTTTTTTTTCCTTCACAGTTCTCTCATTTTTCTTGTTCTTTTTTGTTTTTGTTTTTGTTTTTTTTTTTTTTTCCACTTCTTAGAATTATTCTTGTTCTTTTTTTTTCTCTTCTTATTTAAATCAATGTGTGTAATTTCATGTATCACTTCAAAATAAGAATACAAGTTGATGACAGTTGTAATTGTATTCAACGAAAATATTAAGTTGATGACAGCTGTAATTGTATTCAACGAAAATATTACCAATCACTATTTTGATTTCTATATTTGTCAAGTATTTATTTTTATTACACTACTCCTTTAGCATATTATTTTGCGATGATTTTTTTTTTTTCTTGTTCGCCTTTTGATTTAGCTCCTTTTTTTTTTTCTTATCAAGTGCACTGCGCCTCCCCTGTAATGAAATCCTGGCACTGCCCCTGTAGACACTCAGAGTCAAAAATCTTCCAAAACAGGGCTATATAGACCTATCAACACAGTTTCACAGAAATAGGCTACTACAAGTTACAGTATGTCAAAGTTGATACTTCTTACAACCTATTTAAAAATTCCAGTCCACAATTCTGCTTGCACCTTAGAGTACTCATAACACAGAATCACACATTCTACTTCTCCAGATTTAATAAATAATAAAGATCAATTCAAAACAAAGAATATGGTTTTCTGAGGGATGTGTTCCCCTTTTGAATGCTTCGTTATACAATCTTTACTTATCAAAAATAAAAAAATAAAAAATAAAAAAAAGAATATGGTAAACCCAGGATGATAGGTATTAAAATGTGAGCTCAAGTCTGTGAGAAGCCATTTTGCGCAAAACAATGCCAAAAGCCAGATCTATCTCCAGTCTTCCTCTCAGAGCAACCCACGCAGATGGGACCAGCACTAAACCAAAACATCGAATAGAACCCCTCAATCCTTCACAAGCCATTTCACAGGCTTTCTAGATCAAAATTAGCTCCATTACACTTAAGTTGGTGATCATCTTTACCTTGGCCTAAGTTTGAACCCCTAATGTAACCAACTTCAGTTTAATATAAAGGACTCACATGAACAGGAATTGTTATTTAATATTATTTGAAATGGGTCCTAATATATTGGTTACATCTGATGCACTATTTCAAATAATAATAACATGCAAAAGCACTACAAACACCACCTAAAAATTCCCCAAAAATGCCAGAAATAAGGAACAAGACCAGAGGAGTTTCATTGCTAGTCTCAACAAATGCTGATACCTTCAATCAATATGAGCAAGTTGACAAATGAGTACTTACTCCTGATCTGCAAGCTTCGATTCAATCTCCTAAAGGTGATGGTACAAAGTTGGCAACAGATCTTTTTTATTTTGTCTGATAAGTAAAGTGATCTTAAGTTGAAGATTGAAGTGGCAAAAAAGGTGAGACATAAGCAATAAGTACACCCCCCCACACACCCCCCCCCCCCCCCCCCCCCCCCCCCCCCCAACACACACACACAAAAATAAAAAAGATGACACGCACAAGAATATTTAATCTTACAACAGTTAATATTCAGTGTCTAGCCTACTGGTAACTACTTCTCCTCCATATGGGAGGTTGAGAGTCCAATCCCCATTGGGGCAAATTGGAAATGGTGGGTGTGTGAGTGCGCTGGGTGTGTGCATGCTTAACTACCAAAGAATATATATGTATATCCCATCTCTGTTGTTAGGAGAATTGAGAAGTTGCAGCGAAATTTCTTGTGGAGTGGTATGGCAGAATTGTTCAAATACCACCTTGTGAATTGGGGGCAAGTTTCTAGGCCTATTCAATTTGGAAGGTTGGGCATAAGGAGCTGTCCAACAAGGCCTTGTTGGGTAAGTGATTGTGGAGATTCGGGGATGATAGGTCCAAGTTGTGTAGAAGGGTCATAGCCAGCAAGTTTGGGGAGCACAGGGGTGGGTGGTGCTCCCTTGAGGTGAGGCAGCGGCAGCCAGCTGGGGTGGGTGTTTGAAAAGCCAGCCAGAAAGGGTGGGACGAATTTTCTAAACATAACCGCTTTAGGGTGAGGAGAGGGAGGGGTGTCAGCTTTTGGACGGATATGTGGTGTGGGGATCATTCACTAGCGTCTACCTATCCACATCTTTCTCAGACACTAGAGGGCCTTCTTTCCCTTGGAAGGCAGTATGGCAAACTAAGGCACCGCTCAAGGTGGCCTTTTTTGCATGAATGGTGGTGCTTGGGAGGATTTTGACTATTGATAAACTGAGAAAGAGACATCAGGTTATCGTTAACTGGTGTTGTATGTGCAAGAAAGATGAAAAATCAATTAGTCATCTTTTCTTGCACTGCCTGGTAGCTCGAGATAGTTGGGCAATGTTTTTTGCTCTTTTTGGAGTCCATTGGTTATGCAAGAGTCCCCACCATCCATGCTTGAGGTTGGAGAGTTGTGCAGTGGGGAAGCCTGAGATACTTCAAGGGTGGCGCCCCTTTGTTTATGGTCAGGGTGGCGCCCCTTTCTTTATGGTCGGGGTTGTGCCTGAGTGTAACAGACGGTCCTTTGATGGAGTTGAGGTTCCGGCTTGGGTGCTCAAGTTCTCTATTCTTTATGCTTTATTGTTTTTGGGTTGAGTTTGGAATTGTAAATCAATGGGGGATATAGTGAATTTTGTGGATACATTGATTGTATAGCAGACCTCTTGGTCTTGCCTTAGTTTTTGGGATGCCTTTTGAGTGCTCTTAATGAAATCTTGCCTTAGTTTTTGGGATGCATTTTGAGTGCTCTTAATGAAATATTACTTATGGATTTATATGCATATACAACATATTGGATTTGTCATAAGCAGCAACTGCAAAGAGCATCACAAGATTGAAGATGCAGGGACATAAGATCGAAGAAGCAGGGACATACTTTGGACAATATGCTGCATTTGCCATTAGCGCGAAAAATGAAATAGGATAAATACACATATTTTTTAGGTAAAAAGAGCAAGACAAGCAAACTATTAATGCCTTTAAAGCCCATAATATAGTGTAAGATTATGCCCTTAAAGATGCACTGGGCAAAGGATATCAGGTTGGTATAACAAAAGCTTGACCAAATTGTATGTCCATGTGAAGGATTTTAATATTAAAGTTACACCCTCTCTAAAAGCTTAAACTTTTAGAGTAGATGGTTGTTAACATGGTCAAGGCAGGCAAGGTCCTTGTTCAGACCTCACCATCAACCTAAGACACATGTTGGACCAAAAGAAGACGTGTACATGAGGGGGCATGTTGAAGGATTTAAATATAAAAGTTACACCCTCTCTAAAACCTTAAAAGCAGCTTTTAGAATAGATGGTTGGTAACAATTTTCAAATACCAAAAACAACCACGATCCCATTCCATGGTTTCCCTCAATTATGTTTGTGTTTACTCTAAATGCCTCTCTTTATAATGATACAATGACAAAATTCAACTTAGCCATAGTGCATGTTCCATGAACTAGTAAAAAATTATATTTAGATTATTTTGTTATCTTTAAACTTCATCATTTCTCTATGTTTGAAGCTAGCTCGAGTCATCAACCTTTTTTTTTTTTAATTTTTTATAAGTAATATAGAGCTTGAGTCATCAACCATCTTAGCAAGAAACGCAAAATGTTTCCAACATAGTTCTTCAATTATTATAATTTCATCTTAATCCTTCCTCTATCAATCATTCTCCTAATTTCACATAAGTGCAACTTAGGAGTAGTATGTTGGATCGCATACAACCCTCAAGTTATCAATATACGTATATAACATATATATGAACCTCCTGAAAGCATCTTTGTTTCCTGGGCAAGATGGAAATTTTATTCATGAAAGCATCTTACATTTACAAGAAGTTTAAATATAATTGAGCAACACAATCATAAACTAAAATAAATAGGTCTATCTCATGCATTACAGAAAATACAGAAATAGCATGTGCCTGAAGCTTTCTATATGTGTTACATCTATATTTACATGAGAAAAGAAAAAATATGAATAAATACTATTCAGAAATCATCTTTAGCCCACTCATATTCATCAACCTTTAAATTCTTCTGTTTTCTCATATAATGCATTGACATGTACCAGACTCCAGTTCTAATGTGTTGAAGACATCAATTAGACGCCTTTAGTGGGCTTAAAAATAAAAATCAGAATTCTGATCAGGAAGTTAATTCAGATTCCTAACCATATGATAGACAAGGACAACTTTAATAAACTAATACATGGATTTCCTTTTGACATTTTCAGTTAAATCAAAATTATCTTTTATGCATAAGCATTCAACACATAATAACCAACTGTAATTAAAAGTAACAATAATAAGACATGAAATTCCAGTTCTGTAGCTGCTACACTGGGGATCAGTGGAAAATATAAGTATGAACTAAAGGATCGATTATACATACCGGACGTAAAGGGTAACCCAAGTGGCTGAGGGCATAAGTTTTCCTTGATACAACCCAATCTGGTGGATGATGATACCTACAAGACGATCCAAACTTACAATCTCCGGTTTTCAAATAGTATTTGCATTCAGGTTGGTCAGGTCTCTCTGGAAATACGCGTTCCTTCTGGCTGCTACTTGAAGGACCAGTAGGAGATGGTAAGGGAGGATAAGATCCTGTAAATGCAGGCGTTGAAGAAGATAGATGTGGTACTCCATACATAGAACCTGCTCCAACTGAGGGTTGAGCACCAGGAGATAAGACGGGGCTTAAAGGTCCCTGCATCAAGAAAACTAATAACACTATAAAAAGGAGTATTTACATTTGGTAATATCTCAATGCAAAAAAAAATATTCCATACCGAGTAAGGATTCCAACCAGGAACAGGAACCACTCCCGGGGAAAGCAGCACAGGACCATAAGCACCTGGAACATATGAACCATGCAATAAAGGTGGCCTTGCAACTCTATAACTAGTCGATGCCCCCCCATATTGTTCAGGAGAAGGGACAGGAGGAGACTGCACAGTGGGATAAAAAGGATGTGCAGACGGCGGCATTGATAAGCTACCTGGTTGAGGATGATGGAATTTACAGGTTATACCAAATTTGCACTGCCCCGTTTTCAAATAGTAGGAGCACTCTTTCTCACCCTGTTGGAATGAATACATATGATGCAACCTCAGTATCCTTCCTAAGATTATATACCATGCGCAAGTTATATATGTGAATGCAAACACGCGTGCCCGCGCACAACCATCAATGAAAATTCATGCGTACATAACTTACATTTACATACACGTATATGTGATGTTGAAAGAACAGGTAGAAATAATTATTACCGGTCGTATTGGGTATCCATAGCTATTTAATCGCACATTACTCATAGATCCAGCACCATTTCTAGGATGGTGGAATTTGCAGGACGCACCAAATTTACAGGTTCCAGTCCTTAAATAATACTGAACATTTCAGAAGAATAATTAACCATTTCATCATTTGGATAATCCAACTGTATAAGAGAAATCTAATCATATTTCAGAGGAATCAACATTAGTCAAGATAAAGCATAAGAACAGCAGCAATATATCTTAAAATCAACCCGACAACAAAATACCTGGCATACAGGCTCCCCCAATCGCTCTGGATGCTCCCCTCCTCCGATCCTTACAGGTTCCCCAAACTGACAAGAGTTCCAATTCAATAATTTAGGAATCCAAATTTTAACTTACAATTATAAATTACAAAGAGAAAATAAAATAAAATATTTACCTCAACAAATTAGAATTTTTACATATTCAACAAATTACACCATCTTAAAGAATTTTTACCTATTTTTTCCTCATTCTTTCTATCTAAGAACCACACAAAACCCCAAGACATTTCAACAAATAAAACCTTAAACTTTAAAACACTCAAATTGCACAAAGCCAATATAGATTATATATCTCATAAACTATATTTTCCTATTATTGAGAAATTGGGATTAAACACCACACCTGGAAACCGAAACCCATATCACCATGTATATACATACACACACATACATACACATATATAAACCCTGAATAAAATGTAATGCGCATGAATTCAATAGCAAAACACAATGATCAAGGGCTTACTGAGCTGCGATCGCGAGGGTGATTGTAACGGCACTTGTTACCGTATCCACAGGATCCAGTTCGCATATAGTAGGCACAGTCAGGAAGGCCGGGTCGCTCCGGGTACCATTCTCTGTTCCACAACCCAAAACGCCGCATCGATTCTGCATTTGGGAACACAGAAACCCAGGTAAAACCCACCTCAACCGTTGCATTACAGAAACCCTAAATTCAAAATGTGCATTACAAACAATAAAGCTGGAAATTTCCAATGAAATTCAAATGCAAGTCCAATGAACCCACCTTCGAGACCCGTTTCGGCAACTGGTGGACCCCATTCACCCGGCGAATCCGACTGTGACCCGTTCCTCGCTGTGCTCCGTCCGTACAACTCCATTGAATATGGGGCTTTGTTCTGTAGTATAACTACGACCTTACAGAGAAAAAGGGAAGAAGGGCAAAAAGGGAATAATATATGCTTATATAGATATAGACATACACTACTCTGAATTGATTGGAGAGCTTGATCGAGGGGAGATCGCGTTGAAGAGAGATTACTACAGTGCAGTGGAGAAAATGCTCGCGCGCGCGCTCTCTCTCTCTCTATACCAGCCCGTACGGTCTGGTCTGTTGGTGTTCTCTCTCTCTCTCTAAAAGTAACACACTCTCTCTCTAAAATACTCCCTTTCTCTCTAGTGGGGAAGCTCCTTTCGTCTGTTTGTTCTCGTACCCGCCAAAGTGTCCAAAGGGTGGACATTAAAAAAAGCACCTGGGAAAATGGTAATTTCGCGGAACAGCTTAAACGGCCTTTCGGGAATAAATAGGTAACCGACAGTGGTTTCTAAGTTTCTGGTTAGTAAAATTACGGAAATGTCCTTGAATTCAGGTGTAAGTAGATAAAGTGATGTGTGATTTTGGTGTTTACACCCAATGGCAAATTATGACACGACCCGTTAACTCAACTCGAACACGATATAAAATAAGTAAGTTTGCGTTGACCTTAAACAAGTTCAGATCATAAATGAATTGACACGATTAACTCATTTACTTAACCGTGTCAGATTAGAGTTGAGGAGTTCAACCCATTTAACTCGTTTACGTTTAACTCAACATATTATAATCGTGAATATAACTTATGTAATATGTTACTTATTTAAATTCAATTATTATGAATATTTAACTCATTTCAATATAAATCTTGTCTACGCCGTATGATTTTTATTTTTATTTTAAATATTTGAATTAATTGTAACAAATTTTTTCTATTATATTTATTATTTAATTAAATATTAAATGTCTAGTTGATAAATAAGTCATTAAAAAAGTTAAAACGTGTATCCATTTAATAAACATGTTGAGTTAATATTAAAAATTTTTGACACAATTATTAAATAAATTAATTTAAATTTATATGTTTAATATAATATCTTAATATAAATACGGCCCGATTATGACCCACAAAAATAATTCGTCACTGTTTAGGTGACAAAATTAGCCTTAGCCTTTGCTATTACGTAGTTTGGTGTGATTCACTCTTGTGCTTGTAAAAATTCTTGTTAATGAAATTACAGAAGTGTCCTTTGTTCAGTTAGGTGTGGTTTCGTTGTGTACGTGACAAATTTAACCTTTGCTATTACCAAAGTTAGTGGACTCGCTGCACTCACTCTTCTAGTTGTAAAATTTCAAAGTACAACTTTGTCGTTTACATTATGTTCTGTGGTTGACCTCTGTTTTTATATGTAACCAGAGATTATTAAATTGAATTATATAAATTTTCAGACAGTGATTAATAAGTTCAGTTTAAACGTCCATACAAATAATATGAAATTTAAGTACTCTATTTATCTGCTCATTGAGTAGGTAATTTGATGTAGTCTAATAATAAATACACAAATAGTGTGTAATTATAAAATTAAAAAAGTGATAAATAAAAAATTTAAATTGAGTGACTAAATTTATTCTAAAAAAAAATTATTATTACTATTTATTACTTTTCTAATTTTATAATTACTAATTATTTATATATTTATGATAAAAAAAAAAAAAATGACCTCCTAACATATGAGTAGATAAATCTTGTCTTAATAGTCAAAGATTTGAGAGATTGAAAACATGCCTCTTTTTTAACATGGTGGAAGATTTTGATACTTTGTATTATAATGATTGAGGGAACAATTTTTTCCCCCCTCACTTAAAATTGGGAATATATTCCTATATGTGATGAAAAGTTTAAAAATTAACGTAAAGTTATATGCATGAGTAAAAGGCATGCTATATAGACAAAGTAGGTGATGTTGCCTTTTTTTGATTGGACATGGTCTTTAATTTTGTCAGATTGAAATAAACCAACCCTAAAAGCCCATTTATACGTTTTACAAAAATGGAATTGTCCCCCCTATTTGATGAGTTAAACTACACCTAGAAAAAAACACTTTGTTACACTGGCCATATTTGAATCATCTACGGTAATAAATGATTAAATACGTTCATTGTACGTTTGAAATTTTTCCCAACTACATCCATATTATAAATGATTGAATGCTCCCATTGTATATTGCAAAGGGGCGCAAATAAAATTTTCTCAAATACATCCATGTTATACACTAAGTATTGATTATTCATTACGGGTCAATAAAATTTTTATTTTGAGTGTGATAATTAACCAAATGTAACCATCAAGAATAATTATATATCTTCTACCTTGCAAATTAGTGTAAGGTTAAGCATTTTATTATCATTATTTTATTTATTTATTGCAAGGAAGGTCAAGCATTCAGGTTCTATAGGTGAAACATTCAAGATTAAGCAGTCAGGTTCTCTGTAGTTGTTGATTCCAAGGGAGAATCTTCAAGTTAATGTTCAATAAAAAAGTGTGATTTTAATCAAACGGCTATAATGTTTTACTGCAAGTAGATTTAGCAAGCACCTCTGCAGACGTAAGGCTAGTTGCAAATTGCAACGTGTTCTTCAAACCTAAGGCGGCTTTGGCGTGATGGGTCTTGGTAGTTTGGGTTGCTATCAGGGCACACCAGCTCTCTCTTTCTCTGTCTCACACAAAAACACACGCACCACACTCGTTTTAAATTTTTTTATTTGGAATCGAGCTGTATCTTGCAGAATTGGGATCCTCTTCCTCTTCCGTTAGGAAATTACCCCCAAGATCTCACTTTATAATGGCAAATAAAATAGATAGGAGTACGCACATAAATAAAACAAGATTTACGTGATTCAACGAATTACTTACATTTATGAGTCGAAGGACAACTATCTTAACAAGTATCTTTTCTTTCAATATAAAGGTTACGCCCTCACAATCTCGCTCTTTTACAACTCACACACTCTCTCTCCCACTTCACACTTTTCTTCTCACACAATATTCTCTCAACTTCACCTCTATTTATAGGGTCTTCAAATTCATTTCCTTATTAGACAAGTATTCTTACCTACGAAGGAGTTACAAAAACAATTTTTAGCTCTAAAATAGAAGCATTCCAATAAGAAACAATTTTCTCCACAAGTCTAAGGCCCTTTGAAAAGTCTCAAATGAAAAAAAAAAGTTGATTCTCACACATATCAAGCACGTTGGGCCGGTTCAACTTTTCAGAATCTCCACTTTAGTTTCTGAGGCATGTTGGACATGTCTGCAGAAGTTGGACTAGCCCATCTTTTCCAAAACTAAATTTCTAGCAAAATTTAAGACACACTCTAACAATCGATACCTTGGCTCAAATTTCGTCTTTACGCTCTCCTTCGTAGCTCCACCTTAAACAAGATTTATCTGCCTTGTATAAATACATCTTCCTTCTTGTTGCTCTTCACCATTCTATCACATTCACCTATTGATAACAAACTCCAAGTTCAAATAGTCAAACTTGGAATCTAATCTGGCATCATCGAATCAGACTTTCCTTACTTCTAGGAGGAAGGTTTGTGCTGCATCCATTACTCCGGTGGATCTAAAAACAATGTAACGACGGGCAATGACAAATGATGGTTCGAAAACCACAACAACAATAATGAATCATGTAAAAATTAACCCCAAAATTCATATACCAGACCCTAGATTCATGTTTAATGGTGAAGAAACACAATCGGGATACAAAACAAACAATTATAAAAGTGCTGTCTCCTATGGAAAAGGATTCTATGGAGCGGTTGATAAAAATTTGTAGAAAATTCATTTTAAGTCGAAACAGGGCAAACCAGAATTATTTAGAAACTAGACATAATGGATAAGATGACTGAGCCACTTCCGAATGTGGAAACATTCACAATTAGATCAGTTTTTAGAACTAAAAATAGCTTTATAGTGTAAGCTGAATTAAACCATTCAACTTCATTCATTTGGAAAAATGTAAGGAATTGAGAAAAATGTCAAGGCTTTGGTTGTAGAAAGTAGACAAGATGCGCTAAAAATCTGGAAGATTTGATAATTGTTAGATGTTAAGAAGTTCATCAAATACATCACTTAAAAATCCGTTTCCCAACAATGATAAAATACCAACAGTAGGCACCGTCGCAATTTTAGAAAAATATATGTTCTTTCAAAAATCACTAAATTTTACTGAGAGGGAACTAAACACATAAGGGAACTTGCGATAACAATTTTTGTATGTTTGGAATACTACGGCCCTCAGAAAAAATTATTGATTCTCAACACAATGGAAAGAAAAGAAAATCCATGCTTGCTCCCAAACCCAAATTCAAGATACAATTCATCTAAAATATAGGCAACAACCCATAATATGCTCAAGAGTCATTTCAATACAACAAAGGTATGTCAAATCCACAATTTACATCAATTTCCTCAAAATCAATTCATACAAGCATTTCTTCAAACAGTACATATACATGAATATAATGCCTCCAATCAAGCAATTTCAGCAGCTTCCCATGCTCTCCAAATCAGTCATTGGTACCTGAAAATTGTTGGGTGAGACGACGTCCAGTAGGAAAAACCTAACAAATGCCTCAATTAGGTGTCATGCATATGCTTAAAATTTTAGAAAAGTACCACACGTGAATACATATAGGAGTTGTATTTCTGAGGAAAAAATACCAATCCTTGGATTTCAATTTTCAAAACAAAACAATGAACAATAACATGGTAAAATAAGCATGTGAATTTCTTCAACTAAAACAAAACCACATAATATTTCAAATTATCAGGACATTCAAAAGAATTTTTCATAAAAACACGTGGTTGTAGCAATATTTAGAACCAAGAGTTCAAATCTTTAGACAACCTAAGAAATAAAAGCTAAATTTCTAGAGAAAAATATCCTTTAAAAAAAAAACATGCAAATAACCATCATAATATACCAAGTTGTAGAACATGATCATAACTTTCTTTGTTTAAAGAGCAAAAATGGTAACAATTCACCACAAAATTCAGAAATCAAAAGAGAATTTTTTTAAGAAAACCCCTCAAAGTTGTAAGAGCTAAGGGTGTGATTGGATAGATAGGGGAGAAAAGAAAAGAAAAGAAAGGATAATATTAGTTAGAAAAGAAGAGAAAAGAAAAGAAATGATAGTAATAATTTCTACTCGTGTTTGGATAGATATGGAAGAAAAGAAATGAAAAGATAATTATTCTTATTTGGATAAGATAAAGGAGAGAAAATAAAAGAAAGGATAGGGACCAAATTACTGTCCTAGCCTTTCATAACCACTTCACACATTATCCATTTCCAAAATCTCACATAGGATATTTTGGAATGTTTCTTTCTGATAGTTCA